TATTCCTCTTGTGTCGACGAAGTCAGTTTGGTTCCCGCGGCGGACATAATGTGGGGAATGAGTGTCGTCTGTCGGGAACCCCGTAGAGCCGAGGCCAGGCACCTGCCCGGTTTATTGGATAATTCATATAGGGTACGGCGGCCCTTCAAGAGGCCCCGCCGTATGTTGGAGAGGAGGAGGTCGTTTAGCTCAGCCCTCAGCGAGACCAGCTCCAGGAGAGGAGTAGCCGCCAAGGACTTATGCGTACGTTCAAGGTCGTGGAGCTTGGCAAAGAGCTGAGCAACTCTCGTCCCCCCTCTCCCTCTTCAGACGGACACCATGTCTGATCAAAACGCCTCTGACGACACATTTATGGGCTTCCCAAATGACCGTAGGTTCTATGGACGGGGAGCAATTCTCGGAGAAATAAGAAAGAAGTGTGGATTCCAGGTCAGAGCGGATTCCCGGATCCTGCAGTAAGGACTCGTTAAGGCGCCACGAAGGGGATCAGGGGACGTATGATAGGAGTTCCAACGCCATGTGGACTGGGGCATGGTCTGAGGGCAGGATGTCTCCAATGGACGCATCAACAACCAAAGAGAGGTCCTTGTGTCGGAGAAAAAAATAGTCTAAGCGCGAGTATGTGTTGTGCACCGAGGAGTAGAACGTAAAGTCCTTAGTTCGCGTGTGTATAAGGCGCCACACGTCAGTCAGTTGAAGGAGATGTAGTTCCGATTTAAGTTTACGGAGGCGAGAGTAGGGGAGATGGGAGGCTGTGCTAGATACGTCCATGAGGGGGTCGAGTGCAAGATTAAAGTCTCCCCCGACCAACAGTACACCATCCTCAAATTCAAGGATAAGCGGCATTACACGCTGCAGGAAAGAGACCTGGTCTGAATTGGGGAGGTATAGGTTCACCATGGTAACCATGATGTCTCCGATCAGGCCTTTGGCGAGCAGGTATCTACCCTTCGGGTCACTTCTAAGGTCCCTAAACGTCCATGCCACCGTTCTGGAGAGTAGGATACTCACCCCCTTGGACCTGGTGATGGGGGACGGACAGTGGTATGAGGTCGGGTAGTCCCTGTTCTGGAGTTTCGGCACCCTGTCTAGTTTAAAATGGATCTCCTGGAGAAAAGCCACTTGCGTGCCTACCTTTTTCAGGTCAACTAGGAGTCTGGACCTCTTCTCGGGGGCGGCCAAGCCTTTGACGTTGAAAGTGGTGAGGCGCAGAGGAGCCATCTCCACCAAGGCGGTGGAGGCTTAATCTACAGTGCAAGCGGGGAGCGGAAGAGGTGGTACCTAGTCACAAAGGAGTGAGGGGATCAGGGAGGGTAGAGGGCCGAAAAAGGAAAGGTGTGAGTAGGTTTAGTAAGTCAGGCGAAGGTGCATCGACAACAGGCGGGCATTAGTCAATTGTGTGTCCGCTTCAAGGGCCTCCACACGGGCTGACAAAGAGTTGGTGACGGATTCTACTGATGTGACCCGTTCGTCCACTGCTTCAATGCGGTGGGTGAGATCGTGGAGTTCCTTCTTTAAGGCCGCAACTATAGAGGAGGCCATATGATCGAGGTCCCTTTTAGTGGGCAGCTGCGGCAGCAGGCCCTGTAGGCTGCTCTCCCCCAGGCTCCAGGCTCAGCATGCATGCCGACAGAGGGGCTGGGTGGGGAGTCTGGGCGTGCTGTGTCCTGTGAGGTGCTCGTCAGCCTCGGGCAGTCTGGGTCTCGGGGCTCTCCCTGATCAGGGAACGGGTGTGCTGTGTTGCGTCCCAGTTTCTTACCCGAGAGGAGACCGGCCGCTGATGAACGGGTAAGCGCCATCTTGGATGCAGGCGGGGATCGGCGTCTGGCGGGCAAAAAAATCGTAGAGGGAGGCAGTTCTGAAGTCGCCGGGAGTGCCGTGGATCCTCGGCTCCTTGGGCATGGAGGAATTGTAGAGCAAAGAGTCTGCTAAATCGTCGGTCCGGCACAGTGGTGGCAGAGCTCTCCCAAAGCGTGTGCTCACGGCTCCATGTCCAAGCCACGCCCCCGCCTCACTATGGTTTGATCTTCTTAGTATACTACATCCTTTCTGGTTGGGACAGACCTGTGTAATTTTATGCAAAGTTAGTCTGAGGCTCTTAGGTATGGCTGCGCATTCAAGGTTTTCGTTTTATATAGCATATAATTTTCTCTGCACTTTAGGTCACCTGCCTTTTTATTTTATATAACTTTGTTGAGCGGTTTATTTACATGGGTCCACTACATCGGTAATACTCATGGTCAGCCCTGTAGGGGGGGTGGGGATGGGGGGCTCTACAGGATTTTATCCCTCCCTAATCTGGTAAATTCATGAATCCTCTCGTTTTGCCCAGGAAGACAGTTTGGAAAAACAAGAGTTAGACTTAAACCAGATCGATTTAAAGTGTTTTTGGTGTGTATCCTGATTCTGTTGGAGTAGGTACCTGTCTCTCATGTGCTATCCTGGAAGATTCCTGGAAATCAAGTTGCAGTCATTATTACTGTTATTTGTGATTGTTTAACTTCCTTTCCCTGAGGTGAAGCGTTAGGCACCCTAGCCTTTGGCCTTTTTACCTTTTGAAAACATCCTTGTTTTTGTTGGCAACTTCAGCAGTTGGTCTAAGATCTCTTTTGTGATTGCGTGAGTGCGTGTGTGATTGCTTGTCCTCCACATTCTTGCGGAGGTCGTTCCAGAGCATTCAGCCACTGGAACGCAAATTGGCCGGCTTGAGGGGCCATGGCGGTGCATTGAAGTCAATGGCACAGTAGCCACGCCCCCTGCCCCCGCCCGCGGTGCAATTGTCGGCACCCGAACACAGGAACATTGGTGCCTGTGCTCTGGTCCAGTGCGATCTGCAAAAAGGCTGCATGCACTAGTTTTGCCTTTTGCTTCTAGTCTGTTGGTTTTCCCAATAG